GTGGACATGGAAGTGAAAGCTCCTCCTAGGAAGGACAGGCAAACCTGAGAGCTAAATAGATTCATTCAGGGGCAGGTGACAAGAGGCTGCTCCAGGTGAGGAGCCAGGTGAGAGAGGCACTGCAGATAAGGGATGTAGTACACTCCTGGCTCGCACAGAGCCTTAGAAACCAGGGTCTTACAGACTACGGTAGAGAAGTTAGCCAACTAGGACAGAAGGACCATTACTGCATACCAACTGACCCCTGGGAACTCTGAGGGAAACAGGGGCAGGGAGGAGGGTGTGAGTCCAGTGAGGAGGAAGCTATTGATGTCATGAAGGAGAAAACAGGTACCTGATCTGGGGAGTATGGCAGAGGTATAGGAAAGTTGGTGGGTCCCTTGATGTGAGGAGGCAGGAGAGGCCACCCCTCAGATCAGTGCTCAATAATTTTCTAAGTGTCCTCATTGCTGTTTTCTCAAAAACAGGACCACTTTCTGGGACCTGTTCCAGGGCCACTGTATGCCTAGGCCTTCTCCCTCATGCCCTTCACACTTGGGTGTGTTCACCATAAGGCCAGGCCAAGGCACACATATCCCAGCACAGTACCCTCTGCCCAAGGTCCCCTCTTACCACCCATTGGCTGGCTACCTGTCCAAGGACAATAGCTAGATAAGTGTGAAGGACACCCTCTGATGGTTCAATATCTACACTAGTCTCTGTCCCATACCAATCCACCTTGTCTGAGCCTTATCCAGGCAAGATAGTGACACTCCAGTTCCAGCCACACAGATGCCGGTCTTGATCCTGGATATGGCAAGCTGGAGTCAAAGACCCCAGTGCTTCATCGAAAAAAAAAAAAAAAAAGTTGGGCTGGAGAGATGGCTCGGAGGTTAAGAACACTGACTGTTCTTCTAGAGTTTCTGAGTTCAATTCCCAGCAATCACATGGTGGCTCACTACCATCTGTAATGAGATATGTGCCCTCTTCTGGTAAGCATGTGTACATGCAAGCAGAACATTGTAAACATAATAAATCTTTAAAAAAAAGAAAGCCTTAGAAAGAAATCATCTGTAAGCCGGATGATGGTGGTGCAAGCTGTTAATTCCAGTACTTGGGAGGCAGAGGCAAGCAGATGTCTGTGAGTTCAAGGCCAGCCTGGTCTACAAAGCGAGTTCCAGGACAGGCGCCAAAGCTACACAGAGAAACTCTGTCTCAAGAAAAATAAAATAAAATAAAAAAGGAAGAGAGAGAGAGAGAGAGAGAGAGAGAGAGAGAGAGAGAGAGGAAGAGAAAAGAAAAGAAATCAATTGGTAAAGTGTCTTGCAAGTACCAGGTCCTGAGTTTGGTTGCTGGTTCAAAATTTTTTTAATTAAAAAGACAATTAAAAGCTGAATTTTGTGACATGTGGTTGTAACTTCAGTGCTGGAAAGGACAACATGGCATATCCTTGAGGCTCAGTGACCAGCCAGCCTAGCTTACTTGTCAGTTAGTTCCAAGCCAGTGAGATAACCTACTTGCCCTTTCCCACACACCCCAAGAAAGAAAAAAGAGAGAGAGGGGGGAGTGATGGGCTAGGAAAAGCTCTGTAGGTGAAGTGCCTGCTTGTACTCCCAGCATTGAAGGAAAACAGCAGGATCCTGAGGACTGGCAGGTCAGCCAGGCTGATATAAATGGTGAACCCCAAGTTCAGTGAGAGATTCTGTCTCAAAAAAACAGGGTAAAAGCTGGGCAGTGGTGGCACACATCTTTAGTTCCAGCACTCAGGAGGCAGAGGCAGATGGGTTTCTGTGAGTTCCAGGCCAGCCTGGTCTCCAGAGCAAGTTCCAGGACAGCCAGGTTTACACAGAGAAACCCTGTCTAACAACAACAACAACAACAACAAAAGTTAAAAGAATGGAGTCCAGCGTTGGTGGCCCACGCCTTTAATCCCAGCACTTGGGAGGCAGAGGCAGGCAGATCTCTGTGAGTTCGAGGCCAGCCTGGTCTCCAGAGCGAGTGCCAGGATAGGCTCCAAAGCCACACAGAGAAACCCTGTCTCGAAAACCAGAAAAAAAAAAAAAAAGAATGGAAGAGGGGGGTTCTAATGTCAACTTCTCACCTCCATGTACACACACACACACACACACACACACACACACACACACACACACCAGCAAGGCTCTGGCTTCTTCCCCTCTCATAGTCCCACAAGGCCATGTTTCCCAATGCCAGTTGGTCTCATTTGAGACCACTTTACCCTACAGCTCCTCCTCTCCAAGACGCTGCTCTGCTGTTCCCAACGTCGTTATCCCTGCTCCCAAGAGACCCCAGACTGGGGTTCCATTAGCCTTCTGGGAAGCCGGGCTATCCAGCAGCCCCTACAGGGTCCTCCATACAAACCACCTGCCCTGGGCCATATGGGCTATCACCTGACCTTCACTTCATTCCAGGGGGAACCTGTGGAACTCCTTAAGGCCTTAGGATCTTTGCATACCCCTTCTTGAACCATTCCTGTCCCCTGTCTCTCACGGCCCCCCCTCCCCGGGAGGGAAGGGGATTGTCTCGAATCATGTATCACATTCTCAGAAGTAACCCCTTCCCACTATCACTGCACTGTCTTGTGTTTTCATTGACACTCGCTTTAGTCATTTGCTTGCAGGTTTCTGCAGGTGCGGGACTATGTCGCCACGAAGGGGGATTCTTCAGCAGCAGGAACGGAAGAGATATGAGATCCCAGAGGCTTGCCCTCTGCCATGCGGAAGGGGTGTTGTGGAGTTACGATCGTGCTGATGTCTCCCTTTCCTCGCCCTCGCAGGTGGCAATCCCAGCAAGAGCCCATAGGACCGGCCGCATCTGCGTAAAATTCGGAACTCTACTGCCAACCGCTCGCGCCAAGGACACCAGCTCTCTTCAGCAGGCAGGATTCTGGGTTGTCACCGCTTCGTGCAGATGGGGCACTTGAAGTTGCTCTTCTGCCGCGCGCTCTGCTTTCCCCTCGAATGTCCTCCCGGACGCGCGGCCTGCGGGGTTTGTTATTGTGCGAGCACCGGCCGCTGAGCGGGTGGGGGTGCTTGGCGCGTGCCCGTCGCCGGTACCGCACCGGGAGCGCGCTGCGCGGAGCGGGGCGGGGCTCGGGATTCTC